AGATTAGGGTTTTCCTTCAATTCAAGATTTTAGTGGCCAATTTTTCATCGATTTAGTCAACTTTTTATTGTAGTTTATATATGATTATATACTTAATCCATGATAATTCTATGATTTCTTTTGTGTGATGTAAATTTAATAGTCAACATAAGTTTATACAGAGAAAGAACATCTTAATATTCATAAATTAATGACAATAATGAAAGTTAATAATGTAGTACCCCCATTTCCTATTAGATTCCTAAAAAACAACATTTGTAATGAATTTTAATAATTTTTTTGAATGTTTTTAAGGTTTAATTCAAACGATTCGACACGATTCTCGATTCGGATCGCCGATTCATCGTTCTAGATCAATTTTTAGGATGTCCTATCGGGGTCACCGATCCGTTTTTTAAACCACCGGTTGAAAATAATTGTTACATTCTTTAAAAGCTATAATTTTTTTTTGGATGATGTACGTGGTTGAAATAGATATTCAATTTTAGATCTCTTAATCCCTTTCCCCCTAAAAAATTTATATTAAGCCGATATCTGTAGATATTTAATTTTATATAAAATTTCTGTGGACGATACGAGAGAGAAAGCAAACATAGAGCAAATCACAGAGAAGAGGAGAGAGAGACGAAGAAAACAAGAGAGAGAAAATCAAGGAGAAGAAAACAAGAGAGAGATGATATCTGTAGGCTGCCGAGCTCTTTTTCCGAGCCCTAGTTGGTTGAGTCATGGAAAGCCATGGAAATTGGCTGTTCGAGCTGCCGCAGCTGCAGAGGGAACCAAGTTAAGCACACTGCAAGTTGCCATTGAAGCGGTGAGTTTAACCCATAACACTTTCTATCCCTTTTATGATCTTCAATTATAAATGCTCTTGCTTTTAAATTCTCATAGTTTTTCTAAAAGATTCTGTGGTTTTGTGTTTTAGATTATTCAGCACAATTTTTGTGCTAGTGGTTTGCCATTATTTCAGAAATTTGGTTTCCTTGCTTAAATGTTGATTCTGTTTTAGATCTTCAATATGTTTATTTTCTGTTTTATACTTTGCTTCAGTATAATTTATGATTTTTTCCCAAAATTTAGATTAAATTATTCTTGGAATTCGTTGTGTTCTATTATTTTCTCCCCTTTTTTCTTTGATTTGGGTGCTCTGGGGTTTCAGTAGATGGCCTGAAATTCAAAATCTAGAGAAAGAAAATTTACCTGAATTAGAAAAAAATATGGCTCTAGCTGATCATCTGGCGACCTGATATGGAGGGTCTATGCTTATTTTTGCTTTCTATTGGTTTCATTTGGCTGATCTATGCAACCACCTTTCTAATTATTAATCCTGATGCACATAGTTAAGGATCAATTTTGAACTGCTTTTGTTGAAAATGTGTATGATTTTGAAAGTGTTTTAATTGTAAACTTTATGTCTTTAAGGTCTTGAACCCCCTGGTGGTGTGACATTGGTTCGTTTATCATGCCCATTGTTCATGTCAGTATGGGAACTTGGCAAGTCCAACTCGGCCTTGCCTAAGTTACTCAGACCGGCAGGCTAACACACGGGAATCCTGGCCAGTTCCCAACCGAGTCTATGACAGGATCAGCCAGGTCTGTCAGACCTGACTCAGGCTTGGGACGCTAGCGTGTCCTTACTCAAGTCAAGCTGTCGTTTTTTATCATTGCTTCATATATTGAATGTTGATGCAATATTAAAGGTTTCTTGGGCTATGTACTTTTTTTTCTTTTTTTTTGGGTGTATCTCATTGTATGTTATAACATTCTGACTTTCAAGGTAGTAAATATTTCTTTTGATTGCCTCTTTTCGATTGCTAATCCGTTACATGGATATTTACGATAAAATGAGAGATTTGTTATGTCACAGAAAGATAGTGATGCTGTCAAAGAAACACTTGATCAGTTGAGTCAAGTTGGTTGGGCCAAAAAATGGAGTTCACAGACGTATGTTTCACGCCGTACGGTCAGTGCTTGAGCAAAGTGCAAATTTTTTGGCAAGTACAACTCAATTTCTCAACATTAACTTGTGTACTCACAATACATGGACTTGACTTATCTAGTTGTTCATACAACACATAATTATTAATTAGAATATGTGTGTTTGTATCCAAATATATGTATGTAACTTCCTGCAAAAATTTTTTTATGCGGGGTTGGTTTTTTGGTGGGAGGAGCATTTGACAAATTTTAAAAAATCTGTGCAGACATCTCTGAGAGAGCTGACAACTCTTGGCATAAAGAATGCAGAGAACCTTGCAATTCCAAGTGTTAGGAATGACGTAAGTAGATTTGCTATGGCTTGATGCTAATGCTAATTTTACTCTGCATCTTATCTTTTGTTTGAATTTTTCAAGTAATTATGATGCCACAAGCACAAATCTACAAGAATTAGACAACGCTATTCTACGTGGTTTTCTATTGATTTAGGTTTTTGGCTTTCATTTTCTGAGTTAGTTTTCACTGACTTTCGATGGCTTGATGCAATATCTATTAAAATATGGCAGCCTTTTCAAATGCAAGATAGTTAGTCAGATGTAAAGTTTGATTTCTTTCAGTGATGCAGGTGGCTTTCCTTTTCACTGTGGTGGGAACCACAGGATTTCTGGGTGTTATTGCTGGCCAGCTTCCTGGGGTAATTCTCATGTTCATTTCATCGTTATGATTGAGGGATTGATTCCAAATTTTATTTCATTGGAAATATAGAAGAGAACGTCATGTCACATTGTATACCATTAAACATGCAGCACCTAGCGACTTGGGATTTCTGTTTTTCTTTTTGTAGTTGATTTATGATTTCTTTTACTGGAGCATTATTTTCTACTGCCATATATTGTTCTCTCTTATAGGTTAATTTCCTTTAGCATGTCCACAGTATCTGAAAGGTCCTTCTCAACAGTTTAGACTGACTTGTTCTCCCAAGTTTCCCAATAGTCCGTTGTTTTATTCCGAAGAACATCCTCATGGACAGTGTAATGGCCTTTATGGTTTTCTTTTTACAATGTACCTTATATAAAAAAAAGTTGCCATTGATTGACCACATTTATCTTATCAAAATTTTAGTATCGACTACATTTTCTTGTTTCTTTCGGATATACTTGATTACAAGTTTATTCTTGTACTACGATCTCTGTTTTAATACGTCAATATTTACAGGACTGGGGTTTTTTTGTGCCTTACTTGCTTGGAAGCATCTCTTTGATAGTATTGGCAGTGGGAAGCATTTCTCCTGGGTAGCCCTTGAAATATCTCACCTGATTTCCTATGCAAGCCCTAAATTGATTACTTCAATATACTTTTATTCTATGCAATCCCTAAATTGATTACTTCAATATACCTTTATTTTTCTCATTCTCAGAAGGTAACAAATTGAGGAACACAAGGCCCCTATACATTTCTTGTGATTAACTCACTAATTTCTTTTCATAGGCTTCTTCAAGCTGCTATCGGTGGATTTTCAGCATTCTTCCCTGATTACCAGGAAAGGATTGTTAGACATGAAGCAGCTCACTTTTTAGGTAACCTCTTTTAAATGCTTTTACATGTCTATTCTGTTGCATGATTCAACTGGTTTCTATCAGCAGACTGATCTCTGAATTTTCTGTGGAGTGTCAGTCTCATACTTGCTTGGCTTGCCAATTCTTGGTTACTCTCTGGACATTGGGAAAGAACATGTTAATCTGATTGATGAGAGGTTACAAAAGGTGATATATAGTGGGCAGCTTGATGAAAAAGAACTGGACAGGTAGAATATATACCCCCTGCTTCTACAAATTCACTTGCCATTGCTTTGTTTTCTCAAGCATATACCAATTCCACCTGGAGAGGTACTTCATAGCGCCTCTGTTTCTTGGGTTTCATGTCCATATGATTGCTTTATTCCATCTGAGCCTTGTAGGTATCCTAGTCACATATTTTCTTCATCACTTATTATATCTGGGTCTGGTTATCCATGAATGAAAATGGTTTACAGTTTAGTGGATATTTTTTTCAAACCAACGTCCATTAAAGATTTAGACAATCAAAATAATAAAATTTTGGGATCAGTTTGAGGGTGTTTGTTGCCCTTTTTTTGTAACCAATCCCGAATACGGGTGTGATGTCCCAGCATTTACTGGAGAAATGTCTTTCCTCAGCCTTAATGAATACTTGAAGTGCATTTTTCATAGATCTAACCAATCCTTAAATTTCCTTGAGCATATTCTCTTGTTTCCTAAGGACTTTTCTCTTCTGACCATAAAAAAGACATTCATAGAGTTGAGGATCGAAAAACTGCTTAGGTGCCTAGACACTGGGCAGGCATCTCGGTTTCGAGGCGCCCTAGACACACATATATACATATATGTATGCTCCAAATATGCATATGTATGTGTGTCATACATCTATGTGTGTATATATGGACATAGCTTACTAGTTTTTGTTGCATATCTTCGATACTTGATGTTTTGGATGAATATCAAGCTCTAAATCACCCAAAAATTCCTCTTATAACCTTTCTTGATAGTTCACTGTAATCAAATAAGAAAAAAGTTAGGTTTGAGATGATCACTCATACTTTTCAAAAAAATTTATATCAAAGATTTTGAGGAATCCAATAATTTTGAAGTTCTCTTTACTTCAAAAGCCTGAAAACAAGTTTTGAGGTTAGAATACCCCTAAACAGTTTTACCCCAAGAAAGGAAAAAAATACATAAATGCCCCTTGCCTGAGCACAATTTCTGCCCTGGGGAGGAGCGACGAGGTGGGTGCCTCGGCTTAGGTGCAGGGCACTCTGGCACCTAGGCGGGGTGGGGCTAGGCAGGCCCTTTTTTTTAACATTGCATGGAGTTTTGCTTCCCATTATATGGATAATAGAGGAGTTAAAAAGAAATACCTTATCCCATTGGGACGAGGCAGCCTCTGCATCACTAGATTTAACTTCTGTTGCATCAAGCTTGAAATGAATTTTAGGCTAATTGAGCCATCAACTTTAGCTGAAGTTACTGATGTTAAAATTGATGTTTACTCTAGTGGCCTCCATGGTCTGTTCTGGTTGAGCCACAAACAAGGCGTACACAATTAGAAGACAAAATTGCAAATTGTTATCGGATCTTTTTCTGCCAAATTATGTGATTTATTGCAGTACATTAAAAAATTTTAGATTGGCTGTCATCACAATGGCGGGATTAGCAGCTGAAGGTTTGAAATATGACAAAGTGGTGGGCCAATCAGCAGATCTCTTCACTTTACAGGTTGGTTGAATGAGTTTTGCCCAACTTCCTATTACCCCATTTTGTTTTCCCCTTCTCTTTTGATGGATCTCAAGTTCTTGACCCTAATGCAACCTATTCTTGTCTGTAGAGGTTCATTAACAGGAGTAAACCAAAACTTAGCAAAGATCAACAGCTGAACCTTACCAGATGGGCTGTAAGTTCCTCTGCCTATCACATAAATACATTTGCACCAAGTAGACTTATCATATACTGGTGTAGTAGGAAATGAATTCTTCCGAAATTTCCATGAAAAGAGGTTTCTAATTCTTTGAAAAAAAACGTGCTCATTTTCTTTAATATCTCGTGAAATTAACGTGAGATTTTGAAAAATAAATTATGACCACTCAGGATTATAGGCTGTTAAACCTTGTGTTTTGATTAAATCTTGCGCATCTAAAATGACATGATCTCATGGTTACATATATAATACAAGTTCACAAACAAAATATATGGTGTACTCTGTTCAGAGGAATGTGAAGTTTTGCACCGTTCTAGAAAAAAGTCAATAAAAATACAACATCAACAGTTCCTGAAAATTCAAGTATAGGGAAATGTGTTCTCTTCCATTTAATATGGATTTTTCTTCTATATAATTTTCCTTTTCTGTTTTCCAGAGGTTCTCGTGAGAATCTCCCCTGTAAAACTAAAAACATAACTAGTAAAAACTGCTTTGGAAACCACCTGGTTTGGAGTTCTAAACATGGGGCAGTGCTCTTTCAGGTTTTATTTGCTGGTTCTCTGTTAAAGAATAACAAGGATGCTCACGAAGCTCTGATGTCGGCCATGTCGAAGAATGCTTCTGTTGTAGAGTGCATCGAGGCAATTGAGAAATCTGCTTAATAAACTCAGTTGATCAAATGATTATTCATTTCACTCATCATAAAACTTGCTGATATGCAATGCAATTCTTTGAGCATATCAATCTTTCTGTTTGTTTTGTACCAGAAACAATTTACTTGTAAATTTTCATCTTGTGCCAAGTGTCATAGTGCTGTTAAAAACTTAAATATCAGTGTTCTCATTTTGCTTCAATTTATCCAAAGTGATAGTATGAAGCAGTGGTTTAAAAAACGGATCGGTGTTCCGGATCGAGCATTTCAAAAATCCATCCGGATCGTTGAATTGGCGGTTCGGATCGAAAATCGGCCGAATCTGTTGGATTCAACAATAAAAAAATCCAAAAAAATTATTAAAAATATTTATAAATATTGTTTTTTTATGAATCTAATAAAAAATGGGGATACTACATTATTAACTTTCATTTTTTTCATCTATATACAAATATTGGCACAGATCTTTAGAAAAGTTATCATATGAGTGTCAAAATTTTTTAATAGATGTGTCAAATTTAATGCTGATCATTTAGGGTCTTACACACGTGGGTGTGGGAGGGTCTCATAAGATCATTACTCTTTTTGTAATTATATGTAATTAAAAATTAATTACATATACTTTATGTTTGTATATATTTTTAAAATATATATATAATTAATTTTAAAAAGAATTATAGACTATTTCATTTGATCGATGTTCTTGTACAAGAAAGGGATCTATTTATATAACATTTAATTTATACATCACTATACATATGAGAGAGTGTAAAAGAAGATCTTAAATAAAAACGTAAGTGCATTGAATGCCAAGTGTAAAAAGACTTGAAAATTATCCCACATTGAAGAGATGTAGAAAAGAAATGGCATGTAAAAAATATTGAAACAACCCAATTGACATGGCGTGTTGGGTGCATGGCCACGTGCAAACTCCAATTCAGTTCTGTGTTAATTGTGATGCAAGCTCAACGTCATTGATTGGTTCCTTGTAATGCAAGGCTCACCCGCATTTAATTGGATTTTTAATAGGAAAATAGTACAGATGATTGCATCAGCAACGACCCATGATGTCAATTCGACAATTCAAGATCGAGATTCGGCTGGATCCCGTTTTATGACTGGATCCGACTCGATCTTGGTAATTCTTATTTCGGATCGGATCACCAATTTTTTAAACACCGATTTGAAGCCAAATAGGTAAATCAAGATTTTGGCCTAAATCTGGTTAGAATTTGTACAATATGGGACTCCAAGAAGTTTTTTGTGTACTTACTCCTAGGAGCTTGTTTTCTGAAAGAGCAGATATACCGTGCTCCTCCAGGAGCATACTTGCATGTATTACCTTCGGCAAAAAATCTAATTGGCGGGATTTTTTTATATGAAATTTTGGGATGTTCTTAAGAATTACTAGATGATTACTTTCAAAACAAAAAGTTTGGGTACAGATCTTGCGCTCCAAAAATTGGGAGGACTTTTATTTTTTTTCCAAGAGGTTATGTCCCCGAAATTTGGGGTCTTAAAAATACTTGGTTTGGGTTTTAACCGAGGGAGAAATGGACAATATACCCCTGCCGGAGCACAATCTTTTGGCTTTCGGGTAGAAATTTGATCCAAAGAGAGAGACCTTTCAGTATTGTTTCATGCTAAGATTATATACAACAAAGATCATTGAGGACGACGATGTCATGATCATACCCTTGACAATCTCAAAACCAAAGTTCTACGCACTCTGTTTCAGCCAATGTTCAGTCACTTGTACTGAACAAATATTCTTATTTGGAAATTATGCTAGAAACACATGGTTATAGAACAACCTTATTCCAGTTACATAAGCTCCAAGCCTATTTCAAATACTAAAATACACCACATTTCCCCTGGTGATTGGATAGGAATTCATCCAAACACAGAGAAGCTGCTTCACAAGTAAAAGTACGGAACGAAGGCCATAACACAACACATGGCAAAAAGGGGCATCTTATGGTCCTGATCTTACCATATGTCAACAAATGGTTGGTGCTTGACTCATTTCAGCCTGTTGTACAAAATAAGCATGTCCCGGAGTTTCTTTGCTTCTGGTTCTAAACTGTCAAAACTTTTTGAGCTATCCATACGCCAACGCCAGTTACCATACTGGTCCAGCAATAAAATATAAAACCAAAACAAGATAAAATAAGTATTAGCCAAGGCAATCTTTCTTCATGAAGGTTTAATGAGGAATCATGAAGGTATAATAATAAGTAAATGCTTTGGACCATGTGGCTCTAACAGCAATGAAGCAGAGTTAAAAACTTTGCTGCAAGGACAGAAATTGATGGGGGGAGGTGGTGGTTGAAGGGGATTCATTTAATGTGATTAAATGGTGTATGGGGGAGATGAAGATGCTGCGGAAGATGAGGGGCGTGTGGGCTGACATACAAGATATAAGTTGACTGAAGGATATGAGCGTTACTCATGCGTATAGAGAGAAGAATTCCGAGGCTGATTTACAGGTAAAACAAGATGTACAGGTTAGTCAATTGAATGTTGTATGATAGAAGAATAAGGCTGGGAAGTGGTAAAGGCTAATTCATGGATTGATTTGTAATGCAACTTGTTCTAATTTGTAGAATATTAGATATTGAATTGGGTTTTTATTTTTCTGTAATGATTGGTAAGGTTAATAAGTGAACATTGAATACTGTAACATTGAGGAGAGGTTAATAAAAAAAGAAAGTTATTATTCTTGTCAAAAAACGGTAATTTCATTTCATGGTTTAAGTATGAGTTTATGCATTTCTATTTTGTGACGAAGCTACTTATGTCATGTGACAGGTTCAACAAAAGAATTTGTTTCCTTTACTCTTTTTTTACCCAAAACTTTCGAGGGAAAAACTATTGGAGAAAAGAATACATTCCAAGAATTGGGTATTTGTAAAGCTTTCATGTTGGAGTTGGGATTTCACACAAAATGCTTTATTTCAAATCAAATCCTAATATATAACCTAACTAGCATACAATTTCTAACCTGAGTTGCTGGGATATTCATTCTGGCTGAATTATCTAGTCCAAGAATGTCTTGCATTGTTAAGACTGTGGTTTTTGCAACTGAAGATAATGCATATTGAATCAGCTCCCATGAAATATCGCTCTCATCGCTTATGTGTAGATACTTCTGTACCTGCAGCACATGTTCTTTTAATAATAGGATAAATGATAGCTACAAAGAACAAATCTCAATTGCGAAAGTATATTATAACCCAATGTGAAACTTTTAATAAAAATTGCGACCAACAAATAAATAGATATATAATGTAATACTGTAGACCCAAGCAACTTGGAAAACCTAGCTCATTGGGTCATCACAGTCCAATGAAATGGACAGCAATAAGAGAATTGGATTCCACCAATTCAGTCATGTCCTGTTCTGGTGGATCGCACTCTCTCTTGATCACGGTCCACGAATCCATTTCATAAACCGTGACAATGCCATTGTACTGGTTTCCATATTCCATGGAATAAGAGTACATTTCCATCTAACCTGTTGCGTAAAATGCGCGAAGGTAAGGTGAAAGACAAATTTTCTCTAACACAAACATTTCCAGATGCATGTAAATCACTCACAGTAGATTTATCTTCTTGCTTCAACTTCTGCCACCAACCCAGAATCTGAAAGCAAAAAAGGGTAAATGAATAGATTTGATTGAACAAATGGGAAATACTACAGAAATGCTGGCATGACACAATATGATATACATAAAAATTGTGCAATATGAATTCCTAAATTACTTACCATCTTGCTAATTGTACATTAAAAAATAAATAAATAAATAAACCAATAATAATCTACTCAAAGAAGAATCCTAATTTCCAATTACAAATTTATGAATTTAATTCTACAGTCCTAAAATATAATTTAAGGAAGAAAGAGAAAAATCAACCCATGCCTCGAATTGAAACGGTGCAATGGGAGGCCCCATACTGATGTTCTCATGTAACTGGGGAAGCAAGGAAATTACCTAAAATGTTTAAGGCAACTTCCTCAAAAGGAGAGAGCAACAAGTTCAAGAATACATCTCTCTCACGAATGCAACCACTTCAAAAATGCCTCCCCCTCTCTCTCTCTCTCTCTCTCTCTCTCTCTCATTCATGCAAGTACCTCCAAAAGATGGTAGCAAGCACTTCAAGCTTGCATACCTCTCATTCTCATGCAAATCTCTGTCTCTCTCTCTCTTATGTGCAAGTACCTCAAAAGGAAGGAAGGTAGCCAGCACTTCAAGAATACACCCCTCTCTCTCTCTCTCTCTCTCTCTCTCTCTCTCTCTCTGTGGCTTTGGATCATGAAAAAAGGGTTCGACACAAGAAAGTGTAGCTTCTTACTGTGTCATTGTCATGGGTCCCTGTGTATACAACTTGATCAGGTTCATGGTTATGAGGCAAGTGGGGGTTATCCGAATCGCTTCCAAAAGCTGCATCAGGAAAATATAACAAACAAATGAGATGACAAAATATGAAATACTGGTGAGTGGATGTCATGTTGAGCCTTTTGCTGTGCATTACCAAACTGAAGAACTGCCATTCCCGGAGCTCCAATAGCTTTCCTTAGTCGAACAACATCATCTGTAATGACTCCCTGTCAAATCAAAATGATTAGTTAAAACCACATATGGACGTTAAATGGAAAAACGCAACTTCCATGGGTGTGTACACCTTCCCTAGAACCATATATGATGCAACAGAATCATGTATAATGCTAGTGTTGAATGTTCTAGCTTCCATCAGTTTGTCACACTTCCCTAGAACCATAAATTATCGCTAATAAATGAAGATGCCTCTCCAAAACATAACGGCTGTCATTCAGAGCAAACTAGAAACATGCAGAATATAGACCTCAATCAAAAATTCAAAACCAATGAGTTCCAAGTTAGTCAGCTGTAACACAGTATTATGCAACATACCAAGTCCTCAGCAACTATATTGATATTCCCCATTGCTTTAAATATGGCATCAAACAAGGCTTCCCCAGGTCCAGCCTATATAGAAAATGCCTCTCTTTTCAATTGAAATAAAGATTAATAAAGATTCTTGAATTCAACCAGTAAGAACTAGACCTCAAATATATACTACTGACCTTCCATCTTCCATACATTGCAATCTTTGCTTCTGCACAATCACGAGATTTGATCTGTTAGGTGCAATTCTCACATTCCTCTTTTGTTTTTTAGATTGATCTGTTAGCTGCAATTCTCACATTCCTCATATTCAATATCCATATGGCAATTTTGATCTGTTAGGTGCAATTCTCACATTCCTCTTTTGTTTTTTAGATTGATCTGTTAGCTGCAATTCTCACATTCCTCATATTCAATATCCATATGGCAATTGTAGGAATGGCCTCAAGGCTAGGTGGCCAGGGTGGTTGGGTGCAATAACATGATGTCTTGAGTTCCATTCCTACCATGGGTAAAGAAGTCCATACCCACTGAACTACACAAAATAAATAAATAAATAAATATGGCAATTGTACCCACCAAATGGAACAGCCCAGTAACCAGTGAATCCTCGAAAATGGTCTATCCGGAATTCATCAAATAGATCATGAGCACGCTTTATCCGTTGTATCCACCATAAGAATCCATCTTTCTCCATGCCTTTCCAATCATATAGAGGGCTGTTAACCATACATTGCTAGTAAATACCTTAACATAAACACCCATGCGAAAAACAGTGACTAAAAAACAAACTTCTCGCAAATTAAGGGAAAGACTAGGAAGCAATATGTCTCTCACAATTAGCTTACGATGCTGGCCACCATGCAATATCTGATAATGTGGTGAGTTTATAGGGGGGGTCCTGTTGACTTATAACATTAGGTTAGTCTCAAGTTTTTTTCAATTGAACAGAAATCCAAAGTGTCAACTACACATTCAGGACTGTTTCAAGCATTGTTACATTCTCACACCTAACAGAGCATGTTCACTAGATTTGAATATTTAATGCATCAATGGACAAAAAAAGAAGTTCCAACAACACATTTAGTAACTGGCACAACCACTGAGACATCATCACCTGTATGGAGGGCTGGGCACATCCTGCAAACAAAAATCCAACTACTTAAGACTTTCCTTAAAACCTGGAGTAGAACCATCCCTGGAAACTTCTCACACCACAAATCTACCCTCCTAGCCTCCATCCAGAATCTTGACATTCTGGAGGAATCAAATCCTCTCTCGACCTCGAAAGACAACCTTGGATCCGACCACAAACAGGAATATTTCTCCACCCTCAAGAAAGAGGAGATTCATTGACATCAGAGATCAAGGGTAAAATGGTTAAACCTTGGGGACAACAATACGGGCTTCTTCCACCGCATAGCAAACTGCAGGAGGGACAATTCAATATCCACTATCAAAGATGAGAATACCATCTTGGACCAACCACCCGAGATTGAAGCAGCAATCTCTCCTACTTCCTGAACCTTTATTTGGCACCTTTGGACCCAAGACCCAAGATGGGTGACCTACAGTTTAACCACATTCCTCCAAATTGGGTCCAGTGGTTAGAGCATCCTTTCTCAGAATTTGAGATCCTTGTAGCAGTCTCAGCCCTGGGGAAAAACAAAGCCCCAAGCTCGAATGGTTTCCCAATAGCCCCATTCTACACCTTATGGGACACCTTTAGGACAGACTTCCTGAACTTCTTCGAAGAATTCTTCCACCTGGGCATTTTGCATAAAGCAATGAATGCTACCTTCATTGCTTTAGTCCCTAAGATTGAGCATGCAAACGAAATGAAAGACTTTCGGCCCATTAGTTTGGTCAATTCTTCCTACAAGATAATGTCAAAAGTTCTAGCCTCTAGACTTAAAGACGTGCTCCCGTTTGTGATTTCCCCCTCCCAGAGCGGCTTCATTAAAGACAGGCAAACACTAGATGGGGTTCTGGTTGCACGTAAATGCATCCACTCAAGGCATCTACCAAGCCTTAACTTCAAAATTGACTTGGAAAAAGCTTATGACCATGTTGACTGGTCTATCTTGGAAGCAATAATGACCAGAATGGGCTTCGGGGTGAGATGGCGCAAATGGATGAGGGCCTGTTATTCTCATCCTTTCTTCTCGTTGCTCATTAATGGCTCACCGAAAGGTTTCTTCCCATCTAAAAGGGACCTCTGGCAAGGAGACCCCCACTCCCCCTTCCTCTTTGCCATCTCAGCCGAAGTCTTCAGCCAATCAATTTCACGACTCTACCAAGCTGGCCTACTTTCAGGCTTTAAAAGCAGTCCTAGAGGTCTGATCATAACCCACCTTCATATGCAGATGATACACTCGTCTTCATCGATGCTGTCCCCGAGGAGATTGCAACTATTCGCCTCTTCTTCAAATGTTTCGAGTATGCCACTGGTTTCAGAGCTAACATGGAGAAATCCACCATGATTGGGGTGGCTTTAACCCCTGCTAAAACCAGAGCTCTAATCCCAAATTGGGACTGTAAGGTGGAAGACCTCCCAACCAGTTACCTAGGTATGCCTCTAGGGTTGGGCAAACCTAAAAAAACGCAGTGGTCACATGTTATTGATAAGGTGGACCACCGGCTAGCAGGATGGAAAGGGCGATATCTCTCTTTTGCTGGTAGGTCAACCCTAATTAAGGCGACCCTGGCCAACACCCCGGTATATCTCATGTTCCTTGTCCACTTGCCGGCAGCTATTTCTAACCGGCTAGAGCAGCTCGTGAGGAACTTTCTTTGGTCAGGGGACGCTGAATCCAAAAAGTTCCATCTGATATCTTGGGACAAAGTATGTCAACCTAAACATCTGGGGGGGGGGGGGCTTGGGATCTGCATATTGAGGAAACAGAACACCGCCCTCCTCGAAAAATGGTGGTGGAGATTGGCAAACCACAATAACCTGCTATGGACCCAAGTTATCAGAAGTAAATACAGAATCCACCCCACACAGTGGACCCTCGAAGGGAATGCTCCTTCTAGGACTTTCGGGGCTTGGAAATCCATGATGACTTCCTTCTCCCTATTCAAACAAAATATTCGCTTTCATCTTCGAAGAGGAGACAGAATACGATTTTGGTCAGATTTATGGGTGGGCCACACTCCTCTCAGGGATTCTTTTCCGGCCCTCTTCTCTTGGGCTAAAATCCTACAGCTTCTATAGAGGAAGAGATGCCCCTCTCGGGCAACAGTAGGGTTTGGAACCCCTCCTTCAGGAGGGCTTTTTCAGATAGAGAGACGTCTGAATTTCTTTCCTTGTCTTCCTCGCTACACTCTACCTTCTTGGCTCTCGATGGCTCCAATAGGATAGTGTGGACCCCCTCACCCTCTGGAGTCTTCTTTGTTGCTTCTTTCTACAAAAAACTGCTGAAACCACCCACCTTCCCCCACAATCCCACTTCGGTGTTAAACAAGGTGTGGTACACCATAGCCCCACCTAAAGTACGTGCATTCAATTGGTTATGATGCTCCGAGAAGGCACTTCCTGTCGACCAACTAAAATGCATAGGCATTGATGTGCCTGTGTGAAGAAGAGAGCAACTCACAACTCTTCATACATTATAGCCTGGCACTCAACCTTTGGAGTCATATCCTTTGTCTCTTTGGACTCTCTTGGGTCATACCGGAGTCCTTTAAGGTACTCCTTTCTATGTTGTTAGATTCACACTGGCCAAAGGCAGGCAGGCTACTATGGAGAGCTTCCATGGCTGCTACCATTTGGGTAAATCTGGCTAGAGAGAAATGCAAGGATTTTCCTTGGATTCAAATGTGAACCCACAACCCTCTTCAACAAGATCACCGCCCAGGTCATTTTCTGGGCTTCAAATCAGTAGGCCTTCAAAGGCATCTCAGCAGCGAACTTCCCACAAGAATGGGAAAACGTCCTCAACCTCCACACACCGAGGATTGGGCGTGTAAATAAATGGTCTCCACCCCCGTTTGGTCTAGTTAAACTGAATTTTGATAGGTGTTCATTGGGAAACCCCGGCCCAGCTGGTGTTGGAGGTGCCATCCGTGATCACAGAGGCAACGTTCTGGCCACTTTCTCGGAATCTATTGGTCACTTTGACTCCTAGTTTGCAGAATCCTTGGCTCTCCTGACAAGCCTCAAACTTTTTAACCCAGCCTGGGGCCTACCTTTAATAGTGGAAGGAGATGCCCAAAATGTCATCACCTGGGCTTCGGGGAAATCTGTTCCCCTTTGGTAACTTGCTCCGATTTATGATGAGATTTTGCAAACTTGTAGCGGTACAACCGTCTTATGAAGGTATAGGAGGGAATCAAACGACCTGGTAAACCGTCTCGCAAAGGAAGGAGCAGTTGCTCAAGTCATGGACCTTCAAACGACTGATGATTTGCATATTCCTTGAGGTCCCTCTTTTTGGTTTTTTGTGGTCAGATCCTCTTTTTGGAACACTTGTTCCTCATGTACATGTTCTGTATTGGGCACCTTTATAAGCTCCACTCATTTTTTGTATAGGGCCTTTTGGTCTAGCTCATTTTTTGATGAGAAGCCCGGCTTGTGGGCATTCTCGTAGATAAGATGTATACGTATTTCCATCTTTAATACAACAGTTAACAATTTCAAAAAAAAAAAAACCCTAAATTAAAAAATCGTTGGGTGGACCCTAGGTGGCGGGTGGGGTCTAGGCTGCCCAACGCCTAGGTGGGCGCCCAAGGATCTGAGCAGCCTAGGTTCAAAAGGGTCTAAAGTGTGTCCAGGATCCTGCTTTAGGTCCAGATTTTGAACAAAAATACATATTCATGCATTTTTTACAATCCAAACAAAAACCACCAAAAATGCCCCACCTAATGGGTATTTTTAAACCTAGGCGGGTGCAGTCCTTGGGAACCCGCCTAGACGGCGCCTATGGTCCCAAGGCGGGCACTCAAGGACAACCCACCTAGTTGGTCCGCCTAGGACTAAGCAATGCGCCCACGCCCACGCCCACGCCCCCGAAGCCCACCTAGGTGTTGGGTGGACCACTTTTTGAAACTATGTTGAATACAATGGGTTAAATCAGTGTTGTCAAAATTCGCTTCACTTCAGCCGAAAAGGCCGAAGCCTTCAGATTTTAGGCCTAGACCAAAGCGAAGCGCAGCCTAGTGTTGTCGGTCTTGATTCGAGTATGCTTCGGCCGAAGCTTCAGCCTCTTCGGCCTAAGCAAAGAAATATGAAAGCATTTTTTTAAAAAAATTATTTTAAATTTTTCATTATTTTTATTTATAAACATCTAATTTATTTATATTAAACTTAAAAAGAAAATCCGAAGTTTTCCCCCAAATTGGCTAAAGCACCGAATTGCTTCATTTTTCTCACCAAACCGAAGAAGACTCCAAAGCAAATCTGACAACATTGACTTAAACCCTCTATCACATTGAATGCACGATTCTGTTCCAAGTTGGAACCTAATAGTACCAAGTCAGGGCCCAAATCAGGCTAGACTGATGCACTTACTAGCAAAACTGGCTAACAACCAAGTCAAGCCAAATTGATTGACCAGGTCAGCTCAACAAGTTCTTAAAACAGTTGTTAATAGTGCATATTATTCAAAGTTTCAAATTGCCCAAAATAATGTACTACATCCAAATAAAAATTGGTAACTAAGGCAAAGCCTCCTTTCATTACAACCTTCAAGCCATAGAAGGTTCTCTTCATTGGCACAAGTATTTACTCCATTTTTTTGTATCTTATCATATGAATGTTAATGTGTCACTAATTTCTGAGGGAGAACTCTCCAGTTAAGAAGCATGATCAAAGTGCAAGAACATGTCACATTTTTCTTAAATAAATGAAAAGAGTCCTACTAAAGAACTTTATACAAGTGGCACGTAAGCTATCGATCACAACCTGCCCCACAGCTGTCCAGTTTCACTAAAGGCATCTGGAGGAACCCCACTAACAAGAAGAGGAAAGCCACTTCTGCTCTGCAAAGGGCAAGAAAAGGAAAAGCCAATAGAACTGTCAGAATCTGTTACGACTTACTCAACACACCCATGGAAGTTGGAATCTTCCAAATTCGAGAAAAATACATACCAACAAAAATAAACTTTTGTTTGCCCAAACATCTGCACTATGATAACCCACATAGATTGGCATGTCTCCCATAATGCTTATTCCTTTCTTCCTAGCATAATTATGAACTTTTTTCCATTGTCTTTGAAACAGAAATTGTTCGGCAATGAATATATCAATCTGCATTATGAACAAGAACATATTGTAGGCACCAACGAAATAAATACAAAGAGGCCTCATGAAGAACAAATGAAATTCTAATTACCATGACCACAGTTATCAAGACATTATCGTAGACTTACAAATTCCTTTTGATTTTGGTATACACATTCCATTGCTGCCAGGTGGCGGTTTCGTAAAGGTTCAGGCCATTCACACCACGACAATGTATTGAGCATGTTGTCTATGGCCGCAAATAAGGCAGCATCCTGCAGCCAACCTTAAAGGAAAAAACAAAGCAACAAGAAGAAAAAGTGCAAAAGAAGAAACCCGTAGATATATTTAAAAATAGAACCATATAACTTTTTCTGATAGAAATATCCTTTGAGAAGAATACGAAGTAGTTCTAGTAAAAGGTCTCAAGCAAAGAACATGGAGAATCTCCTAAAACTGTACCTCATAATTATGCATCGTAATAATATGATTTCCCATATTCTAATAACTTTTATGAATGGCAATTTGTAAGAAAAATGATTTCTAAAGGAAAGCAAAAAGATTGCTCTTATGTAAAAAGAAAAGATACCTGAAATTTCAGGAGCCGTACGGAATTTCTCAAGCTCTTGTTTGAGTTTACTGTCACCAACAATAAGCCTTTTGGCAGCCTAACAAACACCAGGATAAGAAACAATTACCCTATTTACGACATTGCCCTTGAAATTATGATTGAATTGAAGCATGTCTCTACTAGTGAAGCAAGTAAACTAGAAATTCTACACCAATATATAAATATAGTTTCACGTGCAAAGTTCTAATTTATTTAGAAATAAAGAAGAACAGCGAGACTGCTCAAAAATTTATATTGCATTACACCATTTTCTGTGTGAATGAAGAATCCATAGAAGAGATATTGGGAATCACAGTTAAAATATCTCACCAATGATAAGACTTACAAGAAACAAACAAAGTGAGTTGTTTGTTATGGTTCACACTGGGAAATAGGTCCAAAGAATGTAAGAATGGATAGGTTTGAGAAAATTTGTCCAATAGAAGCCCAAAGAAGAAATGACCAAAATGGAAGAAAATAAGAAAATGACTAGAAGAGTAACTAAACTTGGAGAGATCTCATCAGCACGCATTTACCTTAGCAATCAAAGGATCCTTTGCATCAGCAACATCAGTGAATCTTACATACTCCGCATCCCTTGTATTGAAGGCATAATATACACTTAATAGCTTAAGCATGACCTAGAACACTTGCAGATTCTATCTATTGTATCATCATTGTTTATGAAACAGTTAGGAATCCTCACATAGGTTCAGGAAGCTCTTCCTTTGTCAGCAACCCATCTTTGACAAGTTCTTCAAGGGATATCAAAAGTGTGTTCCCACAATTAGCATCCTGCATATAATCAAAATGTGAGACCCCCAAGTGTACATGAGAAAACCAATGGAAAATAATTTCTTTATAATTATCGTGGCCAAGGAAATACTTAATTTGATAGTTTCACATATATACATGAGCAAATTTCTACAGTATTTCGCTCATGGCTCATTACTATCCAAATTTATCAAACGGTCAAGATTATCTGATAGTGTTAGAATTTTAATAGCTTTTCTACAAGTCAGATTAACCTAAAATTTTCGGGGTGTGAGCGCCTTAGCGAGAGGCACCTAAATAAAATATAAAAAAATAATCTAAATAATAAAATGATCAAATTACCACTATAAATATTTCAAGAGTATATTCATCATTTTATTTTTTAAGAATTATTTTTTTTAATATTTTATGTAGGTGCTAGTCGGTTAGATTTACACAAGCTCCAAATTTTAGATGAATCTGATATGTAGAAAATTTAGTAAAATTCAAATACTATCAGACGACCGTGACTACATGATGGACTTTGGATGATGATGAGCCACGAGCCAAATATGAAGAAATTTGCTAATAAGTGTTTGTAAGTGACTACTTGTTTTCCATGTATATATGCATATGTGTGTGTGTGTCTGCGTGTGTGTACCATTGTTCGCAAAATCGAACCAGAACGGTTAGCTGGACATAGGCCTGGAAGCGATTTAACCGGCCTAACCGATAAACCGGCCGATTCAACCGTTCTAACTGGGCAAGTCCCGCACGGTCAAAAAAGCGTTGAAAAATAAAAAAAAAAGATACAAAACAAAAATCCACTAAAATATGAAAAGCATATAAAGAATGATTAAAAAAAAACACATTCAAATGAAGTTGAAAATTAATGAAAAAATGGATTTCAACGAATCGATTTTTGAATTAAAGTGAATATTAATAACCAATTTTTTTTTAATCTTTACCATAATATAAAGAATATTAAAAAATGCATTACAAACAAGACTCCTTATGTTTGGGAATTCATATACATTTTTTTTATTTTCTTTTTAAATACCAATCAATCACCAAAACCGCCCAAAACCGGAACCGGCCAGTTCCGACCTAACCGGGCAGTTAGCGGTTAGATCGTCCGGTTTTTCCAACAGTGGTGTGTACATATATATACATGCGCGCGTGCATGCACACACACATCCATGGATGCATAGATATCTCTGAAAGCCCAGAAATCCAAAACCAGCAAGAAATTTGAGGTTATTCACTTTCTAGTTTTAAGCATACTCGACAATTCTAATTATGATTCACTTTCTAGCTTTAAGCATACTCGACAATTCTAATTACAAGAAATGGAAGAAAATGAGACATGATGTTCATGTATGTGTCAATGTATGCCTCTTTTTCTTTTTTTTGGGAAATATTTGACTATGCAGATCGATGCCTCTGTCCACAGGAAAAGTGAGAGAGAGAGAATTTTACTAGACAAATATTTGTAACTCATTAACATATAGATACTGAGTAAGTACCTGTCCAGCATATGGAGATCCATCTTCTCCAGATTTTCGTCCAGGAGGCACAAGAGGAAGGACCTGAATGGCACATAGCATAAGTCTTATCCTAAGGAGTAAAAATCATATGCGCATCCATGAAAACATAGAATAAACCAGCTATAACAAAAATTTCAGAAGAGTAGCAATGAGGAGTGATAAATTAGTGGAAAGTGACTATATGTAAAAGCTCAACTTGATTCGTCTCTGATCATATAAAAAATCACCCTAACTTAATTTTTTCTCTATCTCATTTTCTGAGATTACCAAGCTCCAATAACAGATATGACTACTAACTTTTCAATGGCCCAGTCTAATTTTCAAATTGTCCAAACTTATCAAGATTCAAGGTTTCTACCTGGATATGAAATGTTTGGTTAATGGAGCAAAGACTTAATGTTTTTACCTCTGGTTGCCATATCCCAGTCAATCAACAAAGTACAATGATACACTCCATCACAGAGTAGTCCTACTTGGTATATAATTGAGGAACAAATACTAGTTCATGACACTCCATGTAACTGTAAACTTTCAGAAACTGAACTCAGCATGTAAATTCCTGCATCTCAAGCTAAAAAAACCCATTTAACACTTAACAAGATTAAATTCCTATGAGTTTCTGCAATTTGAAAGCAATTTAGTCTTTAGAAAAACAATGTGCATATAGATCAAAACATATTAAAAGGCAAGCCAATAACAAGCACCCTAGCTAAAGTGTTTAATCATGGCTCCCAATTGCAAGGCCCATGTTCACATCGGATCAAAAGAATAACAGAAGAAAATGGGCAAAACCCACCTGCCATACTGAAAAACCGGTCGAATGAAGCCAATCCAAGAACCGAAAAGCCTGCTCTCCGAGATCCCCAACGCCATAAGGCCCAGGAAATGAACTCGGGTGGAGAAAAACTCCAGCTCTTCTTCTTTCACTAGAATCCTTTTTGGGGTACCACTCCCCATAATCCTCAGGCAAATCAGCACCAACTTCGAAACTCTTCATGCACTGAGAAACCCAACCATGGGAACCCTTCGCTTTAAACCCTGGCAACGCAGTAGAACCAGATAAACAGAAGCTTCTAAAGTTGGGTTTGCAGAGAGAGAGAATGGGAAGACAATCAGAGTGTTGAGAAGAGGAAAGGAGAGCGGTAGAGAGAGAAGAAGCGGCCATGAACAAAGTTGGATGAGAGAGAAACTTGGAGTGAGAAGCAGCGAGAGAGTGCCCTCAAATTAGTGATCCGCCATTGCAGGTGTAACCCATTAAGACCACGGGGTTCGCAGGTCTGAGTAACATATTAAAATGTAGAGATGGGATTCGTAGGAGAGGGAGACGAGGATTTTGCTTTCCCAAGGAACAGCACGGGCCGAATGTGAAAAAAAGGAAAACGTTTGTATAGAGCCGAGGTTCTAAACAATCTAATTAGAGCGCACATCAAAAAATTTAGTAGAGCTCATTTTGGTGCTCAAATATCTCCAAATTGATCGTATCTGAGATTCATGAACACGGGAAAAATAAATGGATTTCAAATTTTAGAAGTAGTGTATTTTGTATTGCATTTTTAGGCCGTCAATTATTAAGATTTTTAAGTTTTACACACTATTTTTTAAATTTTAAATTTTACAATTAAATATAAAAATATGTTTTAAGGATATCATAAAAATTTCTAATATTGAAACCAGATAAAAATATGTTTTAAGGTGCATTGTACTTCGTCGCTTTAAAAGCCTCCGCTCTATCCAACCACACCCCCTCCAAAAAAAAAAAAAAAACCTCTGATCTGATCTCAAGGCAACGACAAAAATGACCTCAATGAATTTGGGATGACGAAAATGCCCTTGAGAAGATAAAAACGCCTTTAATTTTGTGGCTATTTAGAGGGATCAACAGGGTTGTTACTTGGACTAGCTTTGAAGTTGTTTGAAATTTTTATTTTGGTTTGAAATTATAGGGACAGTGATTGAGCAATGATTATGATATAAAAGTACTATATCATAATATTACTTTGATTTTATACAAGTAAAATTAATAGTTGAGGTTATTTTTATACTTATACAATTAATGGAGAAGTTTAAAGAGAAGGGAACATAACTCCCCATGGTCTTTATTAATTTCGAGAAAATATATGATACGGTATCTAAAGAGTTAATATAATAGATGTTGGAAAAAAAAAGACTCTAGAAGGTGTATTGAATTGGTGAGAGATATGTACGAGGGAATGTTAACTAGTGTGATGACAACTAGTGGAGAGACAAGTGAGTTTTTAATGACAGTAGGCTTACATTGGGGTTAGCATTAATACCAATGTTTCTTTGTTTTGATTATAGACAAGTTAACTAGCATCTATATGATGTTATATTATAATGTATTTGTTTGCAAATAACATAGCTTTGATTGATGAGACTAGAAAGGTGCCATCGCAAAGTTAGCTTTGATTGATGAATCCAAATGTTTTAAAATTAATCGGATTAAGACATAGCATATGTAATGCAGGTTTAGTATAATAGGAGTAGAAACAAAAAATTAGTTAAAATTGATGACCAAAATGTACCTAAAAGATATTATTTTTTATATCTTGGATCGATAATTTATAGGAATATAGAGATTGAGAAAGATATCGTGTATAGAATTAGAGCTTGATTGATGAAGTGGAGATGTACTTTTAGAGTCTTATGTGATCATAGCCTTACCAATGAACTGAAAAAAATGTTTTATACGATGGTTGTAAGACCAGTCATACGTTATGACAAAATATTGGGTAGTCAAGAAACAACATATCTATAGAATGAGTGTGGCTAAAATGAGAATGTTGAGATGAACGAGTGACATGACAATAAAAAATAGAATGCGGACGAATGCAGACGGTAGAACTTAGGGGTGGCTCCAATAGGTGATAAGATGAGGGAAAGTAGACTTAAGTGATTTGATCATGTGCAATATCGACCTAGAATAGTACTAATTAGGAGGGGAATTTTGTTTCAAGTGGACGGCTCTAAAAGTACTCTGAAAAGGACCTAAATAACGTAGATGGAAGTGGTGAGAAGAGATAACTAAATGACTGACTGAAGGTAATGCCTTTGATATAGCATAATGGTGAAATATAACTCATGTAACGACCCAAAATAGTTGGGATGAGGCTCGGATGCTTATGATGGTGGTGGGGTTTTAAATGAAGATCAGATCAAACCTGCAGGTCCAATTGGTCGGACCACTAGTAGTTCCGTCTAAAGCAAAAATTAGTTTATGTTGAAAATTAGTTAAAACTTAAAACTAATATTTGAACGACTTTGTATGGTGATACCAATAAGTTTTGATTGGTTTAACCCACTAATAAAATTGTCCAATTTTTGTGTATTATATTCCACACTTTTAAATTATTATTTTTATTGTTCTCATATATTCCTAAGGTCCGTTCCAATCAATTCAATAGGTGGTTAGACCGGTTTTAATTGTAAAAGATCCTTACTCATTTGTGGGCCGGTCCAATCCTAATAACACTAGTTTAGATGCAGTTAGCCATAACATTTTCACAAAGATTTCTCAAAATATTTTGATTGTTGATTTGAAAGGACAAAACTCAATAAGTATTGCTAAAAATAGACTAATAGAATCGCTATCTTCACTGGAAGATCATCTTAACATCAATATGCATGGACATGAAAAAAAATGAATTTCACCTTTTGGAAATAGTATATTTTGTAATGCATTTTTGGACCATCAATTTTCAAGTTTTCATAGATATGTTGATCTACACTATTTTTGAAGCTTTAAACTTTATAAATAAATATAAAAATATATTTTAAGGCTATCACAAAGATTTCCAATATTGAAACCACGTTTTTCGACACTATTTGAAAGTAGGCATTAATTTGATTGTTTAAAGCCTAGGCTATATACAAATTGCACCCTTTGTTTATGTCTACTCTGGAAACACATCAATGTTCAAATACTACTATAAAGGTTCTAATCGGCTGTTTGAGCCTTATAAATGGCATTTGTTTAGAGGGTTGGGCTCTAGCCTGACTTCCTTTGACTTGGGGACTAACCCCAGTTCACTAGAATCCTGGTCCTAGTGGGCCCTAGCCCAGGCCCAAATAGACCTTGTACCAACTCTTATGGCTTGGGCTTGGGTCTTTCACAACTACCAAGCCCATTATTATTTGGGGTTAACAACACGAATCATGTTCCCCTATTCTGCTCTATTAAAGGGTATGACCCTCAACCAGACTATAGGTCATCATATCTCTTCTCGTTAATTTCATCCGTATCTTTTTTAGTCTTCTTCTTGCTCTTTTAAGCCTTCAACTTGCACCAAATCGCCTCTCCTAACTGATGCTATTCTCGGTTGATGTTGTACAAAGCCAAACTACCCAACTCCACTTTCTTTCATCTTATTGCTATTGGAGTTACCCCTAAGTTCCTTTGGATGTCAATCGGATGATATCCGTTGGTATAAGCCAAACAATCTCATTCATAAACACATCTAATGCACACATGCACAAACAAATAAAAGCAAATAGTGGATCATACTTTTCTTTTTTTGAGAAATTTACTAAACTACATTTATTTGGATCTTTTAATATCTTCTCTATATCTTTTCAGTCTAATTTCAAATAACTCATCATTCTTCTCATTACATTTCAAATTGCCCATCAATTGACACATTAAAATATATTTTGAAATTTATCAAAATATACTTACAGTAAAATATTATATATTCAACTTTTATATATTTTTGATAAGTTTCTCTTTTATTTTGAAAAACCTTAAAAAATCACAGCAAATGCATGAGTCAAACCAACTAGAGTTTATTGGCCGCAAAGAATATGAATCGATAATCTTAGGCATATAAGTATGACAAAATATTTACTCATGGATCCATCTTGGTTTTTGAAGGACTTAGGACTTAAAACACATCTCGAAATCTTGTAAATCTATTTACGCCTTAGATCCATAATTTTGGAGCTTCAAAAGAGTATCAGATCTAACGGTCTTCAAAGAATTAAAATAAACAATCCAAAAGCAACACAGTAAACCATTTTTATGACTCAAAACTTCATTTTTTTTAAAAAAGATGGTGATCAAGGTTGTCTAGATAATGAACCTGCAAATTTTTGGAATGTGGGATCACTATAATAGGCGTGTTCCCAGGCTCACCTAAAATGCAAGTCAAAAAGGCCAAACTCCACCTCCAAGCACTTCTCCTTGAGTAGCCTCTATAAAAATTCCAATGTTTCAGTATTTTTTGGGTAATGGAGAAGGTTCCCTACCCATTTTTTATTAAATAATAATAAAAAGAAATATATTTGATAAATTTACAACTCTTCGATACGGTACAACATCATGAAGTAAAAGAAGAGAAATACAATCAAGAGATCTAAGAACTTCATATATTTCTTTTTTTGCCAACAAATATGGGATTTAGACCCTCAACTTTAAGATGCATTGCTAAGGATCCCAAAACTAGGTCTTTGGGATATTCATGCATCTACACATGAGGGGTGTTACTCTCTTTTCTATGACCCTGTTACCGAAGCGGTCTTCTACTTTCACATTCTTTGCTCTACACGAGTTCCCCTAGTATTTCATGTACACAATTTCATTCATTTTTCCAGTACATTGTTTACAGTAGACAATATCTCTTGAAACAAAAGGATGGATTACTGTTAAACATCACCAGGAAATTCTTCTTCATAGAAGAGGCTATCAACCAAGTTATTGATGAGGGAATCGACAAAGGCATTGCACTTAAGTGATATGATTTGGCCGACCCTGACTCGAGCACTCGAGAACCAAGCGAAGGCAGCAGCCGACAACACTGCAACAAGACAGACGCCAATTGCTTCAAGGATTCTGGGTGCGTCCAACTTCCCGAATAGAGAGTTTCCTGTCACCATCTCCTTGGTCAATGCAGCTGTAAAGGCAACCTGAGGAATGACTTTCGACCATCAGATTGTTGAACCTCAAACATATGAAGGAAAAATTGAAAATAATGTTAGTTTTAGCCTATGGTGTGTGCAATTTGATCTAATTCTACTCTTTGCTCTTTGATTGCAAGGGGTACAAAGACTGACATATATCAATTCATACTCCTTGATTTGAAAATGGTTACAAAACAGGTAACAATATAAATGGATTGAAAAAATGTATTTATAAATATTTTCTTAATAAATATGACATTTCTACCTATTTTTTTTTTAATTCGGTCTCTTTTTTTTTCTTTTTTCTTTTTCTATGTGTCCTCCATGTACAAATCAAAGAACGTCTTGTTGCAATCCAATAATAAAATTTAGACAGTTTCAAAATCATTACGAACTAGTTTGACAAGCGTGCTAGTCTTAGAGCTAAGTATAAAAAAACATACTATGATAAACTCATTATATGTTTGCTATCCATTAGAATTCCTTAACAATGTTATCAGACTAGTCAACAAACCATTGAGAGGTTTGGTCTAGATAAAACTGAGGCAACTGTCAGTTGAATTGATAAAATTAGATTTTTAAATAATAAAAAAGAATAATAATTTAAATATATGAAATATAATATAAATGTTTTTTCTGATTTTATTTGACTGATCTAACCAGTCAAAACCAGCTAACAGACAAGTTAATATTATATTTGACTTGTTCTCAACCAAACATGGTTTTTACTTTGGATTAGACCAATTAAAGTACTTTTCGATGATTTGACTAACAAGTCTGGTCCAGTTTTGATAACTATTTCCCAATTATAGGTATCTCTTTTACCCCCTCATTTAAAAAAGAAAAGAATTATTTCATGCGGGCTAGACCGCATGACCATAATTGCGGTCCAAAAAATGTAAACCATCCATCTTAAAGATGGATGCGAGTAGGTGTTCCATCTAAAAACAATGAAAACTAAGGTTCCATATGTTTTCTCACTAGAATTATTTTTTCTAGTTTTTAAAATTTACTTATTTTTTCATATTCATGATCTCCATATTAGAGATTACATATTCTTAAAAATTAAGTCCAAAAACCGATCTCAAACATAGATTTATTAATAGGCCCCCAATTCTACATATGCAAGCTTGGCTGCATAGAAACCGGGTCCACAAAAAAGAAAAACACTTCCAAATAGAGTGTTGATGGCCATAAGAGCTGATAATTAGGTCGGGTCAACCCATGGGACTAGTCTTGGGTCTAGGTTCAGGTCCCAGTTTTGAACCTCGTGGGTCAGGTAGTTCCTAAAGTATATACCCTACCAATGTTTTGGAGATCAGCTCGGGCCAAGGACTCAAACCTTGCCCAAGCCAAGTTACATGGGCGAGTCCAGTAGTACACACTTCAAAAAAACAAAAAAGGGAAAGAAAAAAAACAAAACAAAAAGAAATGCATAAGAGGAGGGAGGACAGGTGTTTTGCCCAAGTGCCCACCACCATAAATTATTGTGATGGCCTGAAAATTTATTTTCATCTCTAGTTATGAAATTCAAAGCTTTAAAAACAACATAGATCAAGCAGATCTATAGATACTTAAAAAATCTTGAAAATGGATAGTCCTGATTATACATTATAAGATGCAAGATGTACTATTTTTCGGACTTGTAATCCTTTTTTCTTTCCACATCCATGCATCCCGAGGTTTGGATGATCAATTGGAGGGCTTTTCATAGTTGAAACAACATTTTAGGTTCAAGCCAAGCTAAATCAACTCCAGCTCAAACTCAACCCTACCTGGTTAGGTCTGAGCTAGACCTAGACCTAGTTTGATCCAAGTCCAAGTGAACCAAGACTCAACCTCTCATGTCAAATAGGTAAATTGTATCCCCAATTGGATGACTTGACCCAACCCATTTACCTCCCTTAATTGAGGGGGAAGGGATCTGGTCTATATTCTCTTGGCCTTGGCTTTATTAGCTAGGTGGTAAATTGATACCAGTAATGGCACAACACTAAGGTGTTCGATTAGGAAAGCTTACCTACTTACCCTGACTAATTAAAGAAGAAAACAAAAATTGAAAGATGTGGAGTGAAAAATCCTTATCTTATTATTCAAAAATAAATACAAGAAGTAGGGTAGAAAACCCTTACCAAGAGCTTTTCCTAACACTAATTTACATGAAGACTCTTTTTTCCCTTTGTTTTATCTTTGCTAGTTGAGTGAAGGTGAATAAAGTTCAAAACCAATAGCATATGTCTCTATCCAATAGATGACGATTGAGCAAAAAGCAACAAAAAATCGAAATAATGTGTCGAGTCAATAAATGAATCAAAGCAAAGGCTAGAGAGGAAAGCAACTTTACTTCTTTTCTTTTTTCTTTTTTTCTTTTCTTTTTTTTTTTTTTTGTCCTTTCTACATCTTCACTTTGTTAGGTTAAAAATGGTTATTAAGAGAGCAAGTTTAACTATTTAAAAAAAACAGAAAAGCGCAGTAAATTTAGTCCAAGCCTCAAGTAAATATAAAAGACAAGAAAAATATAATCTACCAAAGGGTCGCATTTGTATCGCCAGGCATCGAAAAGAACCATTAGTACAACTCGATGTTGAAAAGTAAGGCTTGCACTTGGAACTCGGTAGTCTCAAGTCCGAATTATGCGTACAGCGTGGTCGAGTCTATATAGATTACGGTGATACTAATGATGTAGAAAACGTTGGTGGGCATAGAACTGTCCGGTTTGACTTAAAATCGGTCCTTCCGTTCTAATTCTCCGTATAGTAGAACAACCAAGTCTAAAAACGGGGAACTGACAGTTCCGTACAATAAAACAATGATCTTTTATAGTAAAACGGTGATCCAGACTATCGATTCATCAATTCATAACGATTTTTGGTTGGTACGTTATTTTTTCATACATTTTTTTACCTGCTCACTATTTTTGCCACATAGTAAAACAGTGATCCAGAACGCCAATTCACTGTTCCCAGCCAATTTTTTACGTCTCTGATCCTTTTTTTTAAATCACTTGGTAATACAATACTAGGCCAATTCCTACTCGCCCGAGCTTTATAACGCTACTAGAATTTTGTTGCGATTCACGTTAAGTTCCAACTCTCTAATAAAAATTCGTTCTCATAGATATTTGTTCATCTGATCTATTACAAAAAAATCAAAATCAAGGCCTAAGACCAATCAGGAAGAGGGAGTATTTCACCCTAGCCAAGCTTAAAAAACAAGGACTTGGGTCCGGACTCACTAGGGTCCCGAGCATAGTCAGCTCCGGTTCATTAGGCCGAGTCCAAAGTCGAATAGAACCAGTGAGGCTCGGGTGCCTACCATGTGTATGGTTCCAGACTAGTGGCCGTCGAACCCAAGTTACTAAGACGAGTCCAATTCAGACTCGCGGAGTCGAGCCTTTTCTATCTACAAGGAAATTCGGCAACAAATTCCAAAGCAATTAAACGGAAAAACATAAGAACCCATTTCTATTCTGCCGGAAAAGTAATAGAAAATTTACCATGGCAAGGCGTCCAGAAAGAAGCTCCACATACTCGCTCTTCCTCGAATTATCAATATAATCAGAAAGAAAAGCAAAAAAGGGTGACATATCAGAAGAATCAGGCCTCTTCGATCTAACGATTCCGTCACCATAAGCCCTCAGCGTGCACACCCTCGGCTGAAGAAGAATTTTTGAGCCATCCACTGATGAATCGCCAAGTCTGAACTTTGTGATCAATGGCTCTTTTGTTGTTTCATCCGAATCTTGAGACAATTCACTGGAGATCTTTGTACGAATCGACAAAGAACAGTAGGGTCTGAAAGTTGGAATCTCTGGTTTTCTTGTTGAGGGGGCTAGTTTCTGTTGAAAAGAGCAAAAGGCCGCCTTGGAAGCCATGGAAAGCAAGCAGAGAGGGAGAGAGAAGAGAGAAGGTTTCGAATTTTAGTGAGAGAGGGAGAGAGAGAGAGGTCTGTAGGTGAGAGAATTTTTGGGGTTGGACAGTCGTCCACGTTTGTTGGAAATAAGACATGAGATGGTAAAGAAAAAGACGTGTTTGTGTGGAGGCTTCCGATTCAAAAGCTTGGCGGATTTCTATCAGTTTTAAAATTGCCATCATACATTTCGAGGTTTAAAAACATGGATCGGTGACCCATCCAGGAAATCGGTTAGGATCAGAAGTCTTGATCCGTTATTCGACCGACCAGTGAATCGGTTAATAAAAAATTATAAAAAAAAAAAGATTAAAAACCTACTATACCCTAATTCAAATGGCTTTTTTTTTTAACACTAGTGCTGGTACGAGCATGGAAGGTGTGAATGAGGCGGCTGGTGAAAATCACTGACTTGGACTACAAAATATATAATTTTGGACTGGGCCTAGGCTAACCCTATAATGACAAGTCCCACTTGTTGTCAGAGACATGGTCTCTTTCGCCCCGGTCTAGGTTGGGCTGGGCCTACGCTAACCCTATAATGACAAGTCCCACTTGCTGTCAGAGACATGGCCTCTTTCGCCCCGGTCTAGCTTGGGCTGGGCCTAAACGTACCCTATAGTCAAGGCTGGGTTCAGGTCGGGGACGGCCCGGATCGCTCAATTGCCAACCCTTAGAGGAGTAAGGTCCCAATCATCTCTAGGGATCATGGGTAAAATCCAATAACTTCACATTATAAATTTTGGCCAAGTTGTCATTCTTTTTATAAATCTAAAAGATGTGCCCGCGTGGGAGTATACTGTCCATTTACTCCCATGTATAAAATACAATCTAGCATTGACTAAAGTTTCTTAAACTCTAGGGTTGTAACCTATTTAACCATAGTTAATCTCAATGGAAAAAATTTCCAAATTGCACTAATGGCCTAAAAATAATAATACCTAAAGATTGAACTGAGGCTGTACAATTTTAGGAGTACGATCCAAGTATTGGAAATTTTAAAGTTCAATTTTTTTTTCTTTTGAAAATAATCATCCAATGATTCTTAAGTGGTTCCCAAAATTCCAAACTAAAAAAAATCTCCCAAGTTTGTTTTCTAACCAAGAATAGATGTACAATATGCTTTTGTGGGATCATAGTGTATGTGCTCTTCATTAAAATAGGTTTTTGGGAAAGTAGAATTTTTTTGGGAAAGTAGAGTTTTTCTCAATTTTAAAAAAGGTGTGGTTCACATAAATCTTAAACAATCAAAGTAAGTTACACCTCCAAGTTTTATCTTAAGATTAAATTTTTGTGTCGAATATTCTTAAGATAGCCTGAGAATCAATTTTCATATCTAACTATAAAATTTTAAAGTATTAAAATGGTTCGAAACAAGTAGATATACAAATATAGGAAAATCATGAAAATGGTCAGTCTAGATAATATATTGCAAGGTATACTATTTTTGGGAACATCCAAATTCCAGATGATCAAGTAGATAATTTGCCAACAAAACAACATTTTTCAATGCATTTTGAGCTGCACCTTAATTTTATGAGTATAAGTTGTCAACCTTATATAAATTTTCTCCTTTTAAAAATTCTAACTAACGTGCCAACCTAAAATTGGGGTTCGAATTGCAAACATCCTAAATAATTGCAAATCCATTTCTCTTCTAAATTCATGAATTTCGAGGTCTAAAAGTAATGTAAGTCTAATGGTTTTTTAAGAATTGAAATTAACAATTTAT